TTTTTTTTTTAAATTTATTTATGTTTATACTATATACTAACAATCTTTATCTTAATTTGATTTTACTATGTTGTCGAAATTATTATGTGTTCTACTTTGACGCTTATTCAGTTTAGGATCGGTTTCTCTTATGAGAAACCAGCAGTAATCACCCATCATTGCGACGTCCCAGAATCCTTGATATCGATTCTCAATTAATTTCATTTGCTGACTGCTACTGCAACGACATCCCTGGTTTATTCAAAGAGTTTGGTCAAACATATGATTCAAAAGAGTGGCGATTGTTCATAGACGGCAATAAACTGAGTTTGAAGGCTGTATTATTGCATATTGGTAACAAAAAGCCTTCTATGCCGATAACCCTAACGGCTTTGTCCTTGTGGACCGACCTGATAGAGGCTGCACACTTCCTAGGGCTGCCGTTAGTGGAACTTGACGACCACGACTGAGATATCAACCGATATGGGCGGGGTTGTGGTAGCCGCTACAACAACAACAACAACACATAAACACATCTAATCACAAGTGGGCGTGGCTACGCCCATTTTACAAAAATGTATAATCTTGTTTTTCGTTTAAAAATCGTAAATATCAATTTAGAGTGAATAAGCTTCGGCAGTTACTAAAATATCGCCGTTAACCTATTTCTGAAAACAACCGTTATATGGAAGGTAGGCGTGGTTATTTTCTGATTTTGCTCATTATCATTATTATACCATCCTATGCTGAAAAGAAGTACACATACCAAAATTCGTAAAGATATCTCAATTTTTACGCGAGTTATCGTGTGCACAGACGGACGGACAGTCACCGCTTAATCGTTTTTTTTTTCATTCTGATCATTTACGTATACATATGTCCATATCTAACTCGATTAGTTTTGGCTATTTCAAACGTTATTTGAACAAAGTTATAATACCCTTGTGCACAAGGGCGTACTGGTATAAAAATGAATAAATTAAAAATGGACAAAAAAACGAATTTTCAAACACTTTATTCCCCGTCAGGGAAGTGGTTTCACTGAACATACCACATATGACATTTGACACATATGGGGGAAAACAAGTAGATTCATATTTAATTATTTTGCTTTGTTTGGAAAAATTTGTGCAATAGTAGGACAAAAATTCTTTCATGATACATACATATGTACTATATTAGAAAAGTGTTCTGTTTATAGGCAAATCTTAAAAGGACAACGAACGCATTGAAGCAAAAGAGGGCTATTTAGGGCTCTGGCTGCATATCGATGGTTCGTGATATCTACACACGAATTTAATAGTTTTCGGCAAATAACTCTGTACAAGGATCGAAAAGGTATGCTCCAAGGCGCGTCCATATAAGGTGGTATATAGAATTTACACATAATTGTTTGCTTTTGATTCTTAAATTTTGCAAAATGTAAGAAATGCAAAATGATGTTGGCGAACTCCAACTTAACTAAAATATAGACATACATACATAATACAGTATATTTTGCTTAGCTGTACATGTATTCTATCATTCTTGCACGAATAACTTGCGCGCTTAACCGAAAAAGCACTTAAGCGAATTTTCTTTACTACAATGAGGAAGGTATCCGAATACCTATGAAATCAAATAATTGAGGAGCACTTCCCACGTAGAAATTACTGCAAGCGAAATTTTTTCCTAATGGTATCTAACTATCTATAAAACTACATAAAATGATAGCCATTTCGATGTTCTGCGTGTCGAGTAAAATAAATAAAAGCTTGTAAGATTAGGGTAAGTGTAGAGCCTGGGTAGGTTAACGTAATATTTTCTTTGATAATTGATAATAGTTTTACCACGCTATGAAATTTGTGTACAATATTAAGGGCTATATCATTTATGATATTTTATTAAAAATTTGTATTTCCTTTTTTGTTTGATCTAGTTGAAAGTTTATTTATTAATCAAAAATTTTCTTTTCAACTACAAACAAATTCATAGAACCATAAATTGAAAATCAAGAATTTAAACAAGTATAAAAACATACAAGTAAAATACCCTACATATACTCCCCCTCCAAATAGAAAATCAGCTTTTTTAAAATCTGCAGTTTGTTTGTCCAACGTTGGTTAATTTGCAGAAATGTTTCGGTCGGACTCTAGGTTCAATTTAATTTTGCAGCCTTTGGTTTTGAAAGCGTTTTCAGTTGTTAATTTTTTTGGTATTTACTAATTAATTCAGAAATTTATTGTGTCGTTAAATATCTCTCCTGGCAGGATCGCCAATATATCATTTATGGTATTTTATTAAAAATTGTATTTCCTTTTTTGTTTGATCTAGTTGAAAGTTTATTTATTAATCAAAAATTTTCTTTTCAACTACAAACAAATTCATAGAACCATAAATTGAAAATCAAGAATTTAAACAAGTATAAAAACATTCAAGTAAAATACCCTACAAGGGCAACGTGCCAGATTACCTTAGCGATAATCTCCGATATATAAATGAGACGCATACATATTTGTTGAGAGAGAATGACAGCTTCAGACTCCCGAAGTATAGAACGGAAGTGGACAAAAAAATATTTTTTATAAAGGCTTAAGTGCTTTAATGAATTACCGGAGTGTAGAGGGAGTACCTACAGCCTACAAGATAGTGATGTATCAACAATAGCGTGGATTGGAAACTAGGCCTTTCCAACCACCAAGATATCGAAACTAGGTGGATCGGGAACTCGGCCTTTTCGGCCACCCAGGAGATATCAAGAAACGGAGTAACCCAAAAACTATAGCGCGGATTGGAAACTCGGCCTTTCCAACCGTCTACATAACTTCCGGAAAATTGCATGCTTTTATATTGACATAAAATAATTGCTGTGATAAAGAAATAATGTTATTTAAAAATTTCCGTAGAGCAATTTGTATTTCATATATAATATTTAAATTTTAAATCTAAATCTAATTATAAGAATGTTAAATCTTTGTTGTAATATAAGTCTAACAGACTGTAAAAAATAAATAAATAAAATAAATAAATAATTTTTAGAGCAGGTATCGCTAATGTGCAGGCATGTTGAACGCATCTATCGGAACAGTTTCCTTATAAATGTTAAAAATAATGCTGCTGACGCGCATTTTGCGGTAGGTATTTTAAATTTGCACTAAAGCATAAAGGCAGCAAAGCAAAATATACTGTAGACTCAAGTATGTACACATATTTACATACATACTACATACATGAGTACCTTAGTGGTCCGTAAATTTTTATTTTGCGTCCCGAGGCGTTATCGTACTGTGGATTTGCCTACTATACCTCTATGAATGAGTCAGTGAAACACTACGTCATTTAATATGAGGTTACCATAGGATGTTGGTTTTGTGGGTCAAAAAGTACAAATCAAAACAAAGTACAATATGTTCTTATCAGTGGTTGAAAAGTAAATAAAAATGCAAACAGAAACAAGCAGCTAAGCAGCAAATGGATCGATTGTTCCCACTATAGTCGGGTCTACGTAAGCGGAAATACCCATAATTATATCTGGCCAAAGACTGTCACTCCAGCAACACTCCCCAAAAACTCTGTGAGAAATTTGTATGTTGTTACAACAACAACAGTATTATATTTTTATAACACTTCTGGTACTTTTACTTCTATTCTATATAAAGAACCGACGGGCTTTTCTTTTCTTACTTTGAGTATATGAAAAGTATCAAACTCTGTTATCTATTCGTAAACTATAGTTCATAGAAATGTCATATTTCCGCAACTTAGTTCCAATTCGGTATTTAAACGTGTTTACGCATGCTGGACATTTTTAAAATTTTACAGACTAGAATACAGATAAGATATTAGTATGTAATTAGCTTTATTCTAGTCTTAGTTTTTAGTTTTATTTAACATACATAGTATGTATGTATGTATGTATATATGTATGCATGTATGTATGTATGTATGGCGTATTACGCCACTGGCAATGTCCATCGAAAGTTGACATGTGACACAATTATTGACATGTGATTTATTAAAAAATTTCTAATTAAAAACATTTAATTGTTACTATATTACTAAGTTACCTGTAACTTCTTAATTTGTGCCAAGAACGAAGAAACGGTTCCTCAAAAGAGATCAAAATCCGTGGCATGTCTGTTGATCAGGCTTGCACTTCTGTTTTTTTCTACTGTTAGAAACCGCTTCGAAATGAGGATTTCCGGAGAGCCGATCGTGCTATTAAAAGTTTTAGAAGCGAAAGTCACTTTTATGCGGCTAGCCAAGCTGTCAATCTTAAACTTGTCATATCTATCTCTGACTCGCATGTAGACTCCGTGAACTCCTCCTCTTCTATGAAGTATAATAAACATTTGCAGAATTTACTATATACTTTCGGCTTTATTGACTTGCTGTTCGGTGAATGGATACCATAGCTTCGTACTCCCAAATCCGTCCAACGAAGCCGTGAAGTTGTCGGAGGAAAGTATTGACATTTCTAAATAACATAAATATAGAAATAACAGAAATAAGAGAAGCACCGCCAAACACTAACATATTGTGTAAGCCAATCTATTATTATTATTATTATTATTATTATTATTTCCAAAGAAAGAATAGTTCGATATAATTTACAGCTTAGTCGAGTCCACATACGGAGGCAGCCCGTTTACCTAACCGAACCTAATACTATTAGTGCAGTTTCAGTACAACTTCTAAAAATATTTTTATCCCAAGTGTAAATGTATTTTAATATATGTACACATTTTAATATAAATAATAAAAATTTAATTTTTTTTTATATTTTCAGTTTGAGGGTTAAAAATTTAATCGGCTGTGCATTTACTAAATATGCGCCTAAAATTCTAGCTTCTTATTTCGAAACTCAAATATTCCAACTACCTACATGTGGGTGCGAAGCCGCGTATTAAACATATATATGTAAATTATGTCAGTGAGCGATGCCGATGAAATACGCTCAGCTGCTGAATCGCTGATAAGCTCTCGCACGAACATGGCCTATCGTGGTGCAATGTCTGTGCCGATACCGCCCAACTATGATATGTGTAAGTACTTTATATGATATTCATATCTTTGTCTTGCAATAAGCACTTGTCGTTTAAATATAGGGTGTGCGAATAGAAATCGTATAGATCTTTGGATTTTATATTAATGATATAGAATATTAAAAAAAATGCAGAAATAACTTTGGCATACAATAGTACATTAACGGAGATATAACGGATATGTTTTACTCAAGTGAATGCATTTTAGCCTAATGTCTCTTATTTTTAACAAAAAAATTTTTTCATTATATTTCAGCACGCACACATTCCATCAACTTGATCACCGAAGAATTTCTGGGCGGTTATATGCAAGATGGTCGCATGTCGGTTGTACGTCGCTTCTTCTGTCTCTTTGTGACATTCGATTTATTCTTCGTTTCGTTATTGTGGTTAATTTGTATAATGGTAATATATAGTGACGTATGGCATCAGAATATAAGTAAAAAATTATAATTATCTCATATTCTATAGATCAATGGAGACAATATATTTCAGGCATTTCAAAAGCAAGTGGTCCATTACACTTTTGGAACCTCTTTATTTGATGTAGTGGGAGCTGCTATGTGCCGTTTTCTAGTTTTGACGTTCTTTTATGCTTTGTTGTACATAAACCATTGGATTATAATAGCAGTGAGTTAATATTGTAGAAAATAAGAAAACTTGTTGCGCAATTTTCTTTAACAAACAAATTACTAAAAATATTCAAAATATAAAAATATAGACAGACGGCAGCATTAAAGCGCATTAAGAGCTGTTGTCCATTGTGCACGTAAGAACACAAAGCGAGTTTGGCGTCCGTAGTTGCCGCGTACGAAAGCCGCTTACTACAATTCAGTAGAGCTCAGGTTCGATTCTCGGTTCGAGCGATTGCAAACATTTATTTTTAATTTTTTTTTAGTTTCACTTTATTTATTCATTTTATTTTACTTTACTTTATTCTCTTTTGCTTTATTAACCGACTTCCAAAAAAGGAGGAGGAATATTGTTTTTTTTTTATGTATGTTACCGCATAACTTTGGACCGATTTCGATAATTCTTTTTGCATCGGAAAGGTAGTGTCTCAGAGGTGGTCCCATGTTAATCTAGTTAAGATCCGATATACATATTTATTTTTATATGAGAGTTGAAGTCGGTTTTTTTTTTGCTAAAAAATTACTTGTTTTATTTCATATTATGTGTTTAAAAAAAAATCCCCAACAACTATAATTAAATAAAAAAAAATAAAAGTAATAATTAAATGTATTAAAAAAAAGAAAATTCTACTGGCCGCTGAACTCGAAGCTAGCACCCTGGCAAGGTACAATTTTGATCAGATCAACTGCGCTGTTAATCCGAATCGCACTGAATTAAAGAAGCAAATAAGTTTGCTTGCTTTCCCGGAGACCCTATATGCAATATCTATTATCATAAGTACGCATATACTTCCATCTCGCCTTTTGTTTCTACATTATTTCACACATAGGCATAGTACTTCATATGTGCATTAACACATATTTATATACATAGAGCATTGACTATTTCTAGATAATTTAATAGGCATTAATTCATTTCACTTACATCTTGCAGTTATCAACGAGCGGTTCGTGCCTATTTTTAATCTCCAAAGTATTTGTCTACGATGTAAGTGAATTAAATTTAGTTCTTTTTATATGTTGACATACATACATATATCCATACCTAAATTAATTCACAAAGGCCCTACATAACAAAGCACCAAAAAAAAAACCATGAAAAGTATATCAAACTCAGGTAAAGGTTTTTAAAACGTGGGATGTAACTCCGTTGTTTTAAGTACTGGCACTTTAAAATTTTTGTTGAAGGTGTATTTTAATATATCCAACCAAAATCTGTGAAAAACACAGTTTCGAAAAAAACTTTGGTTAGGGCCTTTGTTAATTAAGGTGAAGATTAATAAAAAATATAAATAATTCACTATTTCAGTGGGTCGACTCGCGTCAACAGGTTTTCGAAGTGATACTCATAATAACGTCATTCGTGTTGGCTTGGGGTGAAGCTTGGTTCCTCGATTGCCGCGTCATACCGCAGGAACGTCACGCGCGTAGCTATTTCTCTGGTAAAACCAAATACGTGTACCAAAAATTTGAAAATTAATTACTAATATATGATTATATTTATTTACGCTTTATAGCAATAGCTACCCCAGAACAGCGCTCACCAATGATGGCACCGTTTTTGGCCTCACAGTCGGAACGTAATGTTCCGGAAAGCATTTTTTATTCACCTTTAGAAACGGTACACAATAGCGATGATGAAGACGATGAACAGGTGGGTGTGTGTGCTTTTGCGGTTTTAGGTGCTGATTATGTTTTGTATACATTTATATATATATATATATAGATACTTGTATATATTTACATATATCTACATACATATGTAAAGCGATTTAAGTTCACTGTCTAAAATACTACATACACACATGTATGCACATAGCTCAGTTGCCTCAGGGCCAGCTTCAAACATTGATGTTGATTGTGATAACAGCATCAATTATCTGTCTTAGTGATCACTTTTGAAATATATATATATATATATATATATATATATATCTACACATATATATATATATATATATATATATATATATATATATATATGTGTACATATATGTACTGTAATGACGCATTTTATACATGGATTTTCACTTGAATAATGTTATTTCTTTGCATCACAAAATACTTGCTCTTTTGTAAATCAGTAAATCACCATTTAATCGAATGAATACTTCAGCGTTCGGCTGCATATTAAATTAGGGATATTCAAATTTACAATTTGCCGTGGAGCTGTAGGGAGAAATCTCTTTCTCCTGTATTTGTACAAATATATAAAATGAAGTTTCCATTTAAATATATCACAAATGTAATTTGTGGTTTTTGTGTTCAAGTCGTAAATCGACAGCTTAGCAAGAAATCTGTTAATATGCAGCAGGTTGCCCTTCAAATTAAGTTTAAATTTTTTTCAAAAAATTTAGTTATTTTCTAATTGCATTAAAAATTTGCCTTGTCTTAACAGGATGAAGAATATCATCAAATGGCTTTGGATTGTGTGCGGAGAGCACATGAGCTATTTGAATCAAGCGATTGGAAGGTAGAAAAGGTTACCAATAAAGGAGACACGATACGCAGTACGCAACGTGAAAAGATGGGCAAAATTTACAGACTAACAGTAAGTACTTAAACGACTTATGAATTTTGCATACATGTGTATTAGACCGGATCGAAGCCCAAGCAAAAGAAAAAGTTAATTTCAAAACTTAATTTGGCGCTGTAAAAATTTTTGTTGGAGAGCTAAAACTGAGTTTTCTCCACAGCCTGCCAATTAATTTATGTTATTTGAAAATGTATATTTGGGAGACCATGGAAGCATCAATTCCTTACAAAAATATTTAAGAAAGTAATAAACATTAAACAGACAAAAAAAAAAGTCAAAACTGGTCGCACTCCTATTATTTTGTTAATATTTATATCTCAAAAACGCGTTCACTCTTATTTTTCAGGCTCGTATTAAATATCCACCCAAAGAGCTAATGGATGAACTCTTCTATAACATTGAAAATGTTCCGAAATGGAATCCGACTTTGTTAGAATCAAAAATGGTGCATGTATGTTTCGCTTGCAGTAAAATTTATATATATGCATATGCACATATGTATTCATTAATTAAAACCTCCACATTTTACAGAAAATCAATTCCTACACCGATATTACATACCAGGCTAGTGTGGGTGGTGGCGGTGGCATGGTGAAAAGTCGCGACTTCATTAATCTTCGCTGTTGGCGTCTCTTTCGCAATGGCAAGATATGCGAAGAATCCGATGATGATGATGAAGCGGAGAGTGGTACCGACACAGCCGGTCCAGGTAGCGTATCCACCGTATCAGATGATGACTCTGTACCCACCACACAGCCTAGCAGTGTTGAAAGTAATCGTGCGAAATTCTCAAGTAGCAGCAGTAGCGTAATGCCTGGCGCTGGCGATGCGGATAGTCGAAGCGGTAGTGTGAAAAGTTTGCGTACTGGGCGGGCTTTTAAGACACTAAGTAAAAGCTTAGGCGCTAAAGATTTTAGCGCAATCGTACGTATTGATCCCGATGAACCGCCACCATTGGAAGAGGATAGTTTTGAAGATGCTCACGACAATATAGATGACTTGGCGCAACTGGTGCAGAAGGAGGCACGGATGGGAATGCAAGATGTACCACAGGAAAATGCCGATATGGGTGAAGGGGCGGCTGTAAGTGGAGCTTTGGGTGGCGACGCTAGTAAAAATAAAGTATATATAAGCGCGGCAATTAGTATTGATTATGCGCCAGTTCCGCCGACTGCGAAATATATACGGTGGGTAGCGGGCTTTGATAGGAGAACAAATTTTTGCTTAACAGTTTTCACTTTTTAGCGGCGAAAATCTTGTGACTGGGTTTGCGCTACATGAAATCGCAGGTAAATCAGATGCATGCATATTCGACTGGATTCTGTGTTTGGACTTGAAAGGTTACATACCGCGGTATGTGCTAGACACTGTAAGTATTGTGTGCCTTCATTCTTTTCGCTCGGCTACAGTGTAAGTCCCGCGATCTGCAAAAAATAAATTTTCTTTTTTTCTTGCAGGCTTACACCACTTTTATGAGTGATTATATGAAATATTTACGTAAATATGTAGTCGAGTTGCGCACTAAACGTAAACGAGTGTCTAGAAAATAGCGGAAACAGAGTATAGCGGTATAACAGTGGGAAGAAAAACTGGCATTCTTCAATAGTAAATACATATAATTTTTTATAAATACCTTCTGCTTTGTTTTAAAATAAGCTCAAGTGCATAAATAATTGTAATTTTCATTGGAATTTCATTTTCAGAATTTCGCACTCATCCTGCTACATGTATTAGTCTTATATTCATCAAACATCGGTTAAAATAGAACATATTTATGGAACTGATTGTGTATGATCTTGTTTATATATTTTTACAACGCGATTATTATAGAATTTCTAAAAGTTTAATGGTTGATAACAAATCCGAAATGATTCGCTAAATATTAGATCTTAATTATGAAAATTTTAAAACACATACATACATATATTTTCTACAATTAGGTCCAACAATGTGAGAATAATGAAATTAATATTGTTTGTACTCTTGTAAGTTATAGCTTAGGTTAAAGTGAAATATTAAAGTTCATTTGCTTCTGAATTTGAACTAAAAAATCGGCGCACAAGTTAATGAGACATATATTTTACAGCATAATCTATTTTTGTTGTAATATTTCATGCCGTATTACGATGATAATATACAATTTATTAGCAATTACTTTTAAGATTTAATCGTATGTTTGTATGTATAAATAGTTTTTCAAAATACAATAAAATATTAAAACTGAATAAAAATCTAAATAGTTGGGTCTTTTTCTCATACCACTGTAGGAAAATCACCTGATTTAGAAAAAGAGGGAATCTACGATTCAGTTACGTTTACGTGCCGCGGCGTATTTTTTGGGTAATTTCAAAACTTGAGATTTTCCCTACAGTGTAAATATTAAGCTGGTGCCAGATAAACGCTTTACGTGCGAAAAAATGTCCAACTCCCATCTTTTTGCGCCGGTTTAATAGATGTGTATAGTGACACAGTCAAAACAAAACAAAACATGAAATAAAGTGTTGATATAAAAAAATAATAAAATTAAAAAAAAAATTGTTTGGAATTGCTCGGAGTGGGGACCGAACCTGGGTGATACCGCGTTTCTACTTCAACAGCAAAAGAATACTTAGAATCTTATTTTACCATTTTAAAATCGCGTTCTCCTCATTTCAAAATTAAAATAATGATTTTGCCATAAAATGATTTTTAAGTTGACTATAAAAGAGTTAAAATGGTGATTACCATAAAAGACAATTTTAATCTTCAAAACCTTTTTCTAACTTCTCTCTGACTACGGGCCATAAAATCCACAGCAATTTTTATACCTTTCATGAGCATNAAGTATATCTTCCATACCTCTGATTGTTTAGATGCGATTTTTTATATAAGTATGTAACTCCTCTATCGATGTATGCAGATGTATTCAAAAGCAGTAATCTGTCAAAGTAAAATTTGCAGATGTTCATGAAAGGTATGAAGCCTTCGGCATAGCCGAAGACAGCGCTGCTCTTACTTGTTAAGGGGTAAAAAAGCAATACAAAATTGTTTTCTTGGTGTTCATTGTGGCAAACCTTCTGCGTTGTTGTTGTTGTTGTAGCGGCTTACTAAACAACTTTGTACAAATTTTATAAAAGTGGCCAATTTAAATTTTTGCTACAATGACTCTTGCAGTTGAGAATGTGTTTTTCCACACCAACAGAGGAAATGTTTAAAATTATGTTAAGATTTTTGAAGCCTCAAAAAAGGACCGTTTCATATTTAAAAAGGCTAAAAAAGAGCTAGAGGATAAAAGCGAATTTCTGAGGCAATTTAAAATAAAAATGGCAACACTCCTCCATACATATACAGGGTGTCCTTGATATAACGTCCAGCCCCTCTAAAATGGAGGATTTTTTTTTTTTTGAAGAAGGCAAAAATACGACCTACGGAATCGGCGATGCTCTATCATTTGATGGTATTATCGACCGGAAGTAGGTTAAACTGACCGGAAGTCCATTTTTCGAAATGATCCAGATCTGTTTGCTACTTTTTTCTGCCTTTTACAAACTCTAAATGACCGTCGAATTTCAGTTCGTCCTGGACTTCTGAAACTAGTGAAAATATTTTTATTCGAAAACGAAAAAATATAAATTAGCAAGTCTAGGTTGCTCCATCTTTTGGTCGTATTAACGACTTCCGGCCCATTTCTTTAATCCTGCGAACACAAATACATAACTTTTGTCGGACTTTGTTTTCGAATGAACTTCCGGTTAAAACAATGGACTTCCGGTCGGTTTAACACAATTACGGTCAAAATCCGAAGAAGGAAATACAATCGAAAGATAGACCCGACTTGGTTATTCATATTTTTTCATTTTCCCATAAAAACATTGTCACTCATTTCCGAAGCCCAGGACGAGTTGTAGTTCGAGATTCATTTAGAAAGTTTTAAGCTTCAAACAAAGTTACGTATTTTTATCCTCCGAGTCCGAATCTGTAGCCAAAACGTGTATGCCCAATTAAAAAAAAAAAAATTGGCTTCCGGTCAATTTAACCAAATTTCGGTCGAAACCGGAATTCGGTAATACAACCAAAAGATAGATCATCCCCCGATTTTGTATAGTGTTAAAGTTTTATTATCTTAAGGCAAATGAAACGATTGTTAATTGTATCAAAAACATATGACAAAAATGAGATGAAAACTAGGTTTTGAAATTTTTATGATAAGATTACCATACAAAAATTATTCTCGTTTGCTCATGTTGTGGTAATATTGAGGTGATCTTATCATTTTGTCGCACACCTTATGTATGTATATAGTTCTCATATGTGGTCCATTCAACAACTTATTTAAGAAACGAATTGATAAACTTAGTCAACAGACACCGAGGTTCTGACAAAACCTGTTTAAAAAAATTTATTGAAACTTTCTTTGGTAAATTTTGGTACTTGCTTTCTTGAGCATTTGCTTTATTGGAAGTTTGTTTACAAGTACAACTACAAAATTAAGGTTAAATATAAATATACATAAGTGCGTTTATAAATGCGTGTTAATTACATTCCGATTAATTTATATATGCACAAGCCATTTTCACTGCGCTTCGAATATAATGTTTATCGTTAATTATGTATGGAGGATCGTGGTTATATCGATGACTAAATACACTAAAGCGGTTTGGTCTTATTTGCTTTCGCCTTGTGGAAACCATGATTGACACGCCTCCAGCGCGATTTCGCACATTGCAGTTATTGCCTTGGCATTGTCATACTCTGCACAATTGAACGAAGAATATACATAAGTAAATTTTAATAAAATTATTTTTAAAGTTTTACTCACCTAACGAATTGCGTTTGCCAAAGATGCTGCCATTGAAAGGAGGCTTCCTATAGGCCGCCTCGCTGAAGCCACACATGCTGATGGTCAGGATCATAGCAAAAATGCAGACAGTGATGAATGAACGCATTTTATATTTTATAAAGTATGCAAATTTTTCCCAAAAGTAGCGTTCCACTGAGTTTTCTTGTGCTTTTGGCAGTTATGCGTTTGCTTATTTTGCGACGTTCGCTTGTGATTTGCTAGCTGCGAGGATTCAGTGCTACTGATATCGTTTGGTACTGAAACTGGTGCTTTTATACGATTTAGAAAACTGTTAGCCCATTGGCTTGTGGAATTTCTAACACTTTCTGTTTTTGATTTTAATAAATTTACTGAGCTACATGGCATCTTTCTGACTATGTAATTACTATGTGAATTCGCCAAGGACCTAAGACGCAGGCAGATTGGCTATTGTCACTTTGATTGAATATTAATTGGAAACCATGTATGCGTAGTACATACATATGTACATAAAAGCTGCAAAACAGCACACATACATACGCACGATATGGTCACTAAACGCTCCCGAGTGATGTTTAGCATCAAATTTAATAAACGAAGCTATTATAATTCGACTTCCATAGCCAAGTTATGTTACTAATAATGTGCATGTGCAGTGTACATATGTAAGGATGTACATATGTATGTATGTACCATTATTAACACGCTGGATATGCATGAGTCTTAATTGGAACTCCCATCTTGAGAGAACGGTTGCTAAAGCCACACGGGCCATGTGGGCCTGCAGCAGCCTCTTTGGAAGAACATGGGGATTGAGCTCAAGCCTAATAGATTGGCTCTAACGTATGATCGTCCGTCCGATTGTGTCTGTCTTATGCATCCATAGCATGGTGGCAGAAGACACTGCGAAAACAGCCATACTTCGCCTTAACAAATTTCAAATATTGGCATGTCTATCCCTCACTGGATCAATTAGAACGTGCTGAACTGCGGTTATAGTTTCGTTTCTAGGAGCGACTCCTCTCCACATTTGCTGCAAAATCGACTATCTAACGACGCCTTCTTCACAAAGAAGCTTCATGCAGGTATTCTTGGGAAGATAGCATGGTTGGAAATATACGGAATCTCTGCCATGGACTATGAAATCCAAGCCGGTTAGAAACTGCGCTGACACGCTACCAATTTTGGCAGCCAGGCACACGGTAACACTGCGCTGGGTACCAGGCCATTGTGAAAACGAAGGCAATGAGGATGAAGACAAGATGGCATGAGAAAGATCGCTAAATGCCTTTTCGGGACCTGAACCATTCTGTGCACTCAGCTAGTTCTCTTCGAGAGCCATAATTACTCTGAACGCAGTGAGTACTGGCGAGCGGTGGAGGCCATAGACAGGTCAGGCTTTTCGCTACGACCCAACTGGTCACAACCGATTGCGATGCCACTTACACCGAATAGGTGCGATCACAGAACCGCAATGCCGGCTTATTTAGCCTTGATGCTGATGAGACTTCAGAACATTTTCTCTGCCACTGTCCGGTTTTGACCAGACAGAGATCGGCCCGTTTAAAACTTCAGTGGTGTAACCATATGTTATAAAGAATTCGCATTCATGATAAATTTAAAATCGAATTGTACAACCAGGCATTCGTATTTTAAAGAAAGACTCGTAGGTAAAGATTGGGTGCTAAAATTTGTGTTTATCTATATTTAGGTTTTAATGTGCGCACGATCCGAGGACTAAACGTCGACTCCAGTCAATGGACCTCATGCATAAAAAGTGAGCTTAATCTTCGACTCGATTTTCATTACAAAATTCTTGAGTTTCAGTACACCCCGTCAGTGCAAAAAATTAGTCTGAGCTTAAGCTCACTTTTTATGCATGAGGCCCAATATCTTGTTGCAGTCATAATACGCATTTACCTCGGTGCAACAATAAAACTGGGCCAAGCAATAGAACGTTGAAAAGCTACCATGATTGATTGAATTATAACGGAGGATAGTAAACATATATTATTCAATTGTTCCAAACATGAAATTACAAGGTCTAAATACCCATCTTTAAGATCAGTATCATCACTCAAAGAATTTTATAGAAGTCAAAATGATCAAGGATTTACTGCAATAATTGAATGTTTAAAAGAAATTAAATTGTTATTATAAAGTTTTAATATTTATGTATATAATTTTGTTCATGGCGCTATAACTTCTAGCTGGGCGAAATAATACTCCTTTTTCAAACATTGTAAACATTTCTGGAGTAACTTAAATAAAAAAAACTCCATTTTTGGAGGTATTTTCAAATGGATCCAGCTCGCTTAAATCTCAATATTTTTTCGATATATTTTGGTCGACGTCTTACAATAAAAAAAATAGTGTAATCCCGGCGGAAAAACCGCAACTTTTTTTTGATGATTCAGTCTAATGTACATACTTACATATGTACTTATGTTTAAGCTAAGGACTTTACTGTATGTACTTTTTTTATGTCTCTCGCGATGTATAGTTTAAAGAAGGAGACGTGCCAAACGCCAAAACTTAAATTCCTTTGTAATGTTCCTTGGTTAAATTTCGAAATTGCCATTTAAGTTATTTTGTATTGAAGACCGTAATTTGCAAACTTTCGAGCCGCTTTATTTATGTAGATACTCACTCGCAAATAACAGTTCAATCACCCCTCTATGCTTAGCTGAGTATATAAACAATGTTGCTCCCCATGCTTCTGCATGCAACTAGCAACGATAGCAACAGTAAGCCAGTCTAATCAATTCCCGCCATCACCAAGAACACCACAATATATGTATGTATGTAAGAACTAACAAATAACAACTGCGACACTACCCTCTCTTTCGCTTTGAACAACTAAACTATTTAGCATGTCTGAGCAAATCCTTGACTGCTACCGAGCAAGCATAACCGGCCTTGCAACCACTTTGTTACTCCAGTAGCTGACCAAGTGCGTTGTAGACCGGAAGCATACAAGCAAAAATTTTTAATCGTTTGCAATATCACTCAAATATAAAAGTCAAAATCAAAACCAAAACTGAAAATTGGTTTATATGAAAAATTAAATGTTAAAAATTTTGATGTTAATGCAAAATTTCTCTTTTGTGTACTCGTTAAAAAATTTCTGTCAAAATTTTATAAGAGGCGATGGCCGAATTGCTATCGCGCGAGAAGGAATTCATCAAATTGAATAAAGAGTTAGACCAGCTGGCCGTCACTTCAACGGATCAACAAACACAAAGGCATCAACAACTGCAACACCAGCACCAACATCCCCTCTGTAATAGTGTGGCGGACAGCGGCAGCGGCGGAAGTGGCGCAGGTACCATCAGCGGGAGTGGTGTTTACAGTGGGCTATCCAAACAATTGTCCAATAAACAGGAGCAACGTTATTTCACGTACACAAAGTCCAAAGGACCAAGCACGTTGCTGAAGAAGCGTGCTAATGGCATTGGCGCTGGTGGCGTGGCTGGAGGGGGTAATGGCGCAGGTGATGGTAACTGCGATAGACTCGCCGAATTGCCCACCGAACGTAACAATACACATCGTATGACACGCAAAGTGACTCAACAGTCCTCCACGTCCACCGCGCCTAGCATGCGTCCGGATGGTGACAGTATTTTAGCCGCACATTCTGAGACACCGAGAACCAACCGCACAAGTAGCACAATGCATAGAAAGCACATCAACAGTCCCGACAGTGGGGCACGTACCTACGGGCGAGCGAGTAACTGCAGTTCACGAACTAAGGAGGCGGCAGGCTTCACAGTCAAATACCGCAATCCCAAATTTGTGCAGAGTCCATCTTTGGAGGTATTAATACGCGATGAGGGCGCTGCGCTACGCGCGAAAGGGAGCAGCGAACTTGGCGATAGTGGTTGTTCTTCACGTCGTTCTATGGACACAACAGGAAAGAAACAAATTAGCACCGAAGGCCTAATTAAGTATGTCCACCAAAAGATGGCCAATCTCAAATTAGATCACAAAACTAAATTTTTGGTTCCTTTTACAGATTTCTTAAATCTAAAATAGCCATAATCGAAGAGGATCACGAGCGCATTTCACAAGAGATGTCCAACCAAAAGGAGATGCTCGATAAGACATTGGAACGTAACAAAAAGCTAGAGCAACAGCGCGATCAAGCATTTTCGAAACATAATGCGATTGCCGAGCAATTGAACAAAACCGAGAATCAACTAGAAGAGGTGAATAGACGCATCAAAGAGCGCAGCATCGAACAGAACGCACAGCAGAAGGAACTCGAGGCGGCGCGTCGTGAATTGAAAGTATTGGCGCAAACAAATACCAATCTAGAGAAGCGTTTGTATCGTGCCAATGAAGAACTAGAGAATACGAAGAGTGCATTGGCGCTGCTAAAGAACGCCGAACGTGAGCTCAAAGAATCGATGCGTGTCGATGATGAGAAAAAGGATAAACAAATAAAAAGTTTGAAGAAACAACGAGCCGATCTGCTCAATGCCTACAAGAAGCAACTTTTTCTCATCGATAATCTCAAGCGACAGAATATTTGCATGGAGCAGTCGAAAATGATCAGTTTTGGCGAGAAAGAATTTACCAAAGTACTAGAATGGAATACTAAGTTATAGGCAATGAAGAGCATACGTAATGACGCTATCATTTTGTAACTCAGCTTTAAATTTTGTCTATGTATGAGTATAAGTATGCCTACGATCTGTACGAACTGATATTAACCTATTAAGTCCATCTATAGTCCTCCAGAATGTAAGTGAACGTTTTAAAGGTAACTTACGTATGGGAAGGAGCCATATTTGTGGTGTTTACGAATAAGTAATATTAATAAAAAAGTGCATTTGCAAAAATGCTATTCGCTTTATAAATACCGAATAATTTGTGTAATTTTTTCATTTACTACAGTAAAAAGGTGCTAAGTCTAGTTTTTTAAATTTTAGAGTACAGAAAAACTTACTAGAATCCGTTTCTTCAAGTATTTTGTAAGTCTTTAAACCCAAAAATGTGCGTATTTAAAACAAAATGAAACTCTCTACGAACTGGCAGGCTTCCAAGTTGATGAAAAGTTATTGTATTCCTCTGGACTTATCAAATTTTTTATGCCGTCTTTGGACGTAATTAACTGGCCAAAAATTGACTGGTTAAAAGACTAGACGACAAAAAATTGCTGCCCGAGGGCAATACTGCCAACTGTAAGGGCAAAATCATCGTACGGTTTCCTAATGGTGATTTCGTTTCTACCAAAAAATTTTGCCTTTTGATTGTCCCTTTTCTTTTCGTGTTTGATTCTAAAGGCACATTCTCTGCCTTGTGACGCTTTGTCAGGGGATATGGTTGCCCTGAAAATTAGACGGTTGTTTAAAACGACAATAGGTTTGTTCCTCGAGCAAAAAATTTGTACGCATTTGTACGAATTATCATGATTTTTGCCCAAATCGCATTCGTGCAGACCAAAAAATGATCTATCTCTCAAAAACTGAGAGCGCAAAGTGACAGTTTTCCTGAGAGAAGTTGCAAATTCTTGCTGGAAAAATTTTAGCCAACAAGAATTTGCTATCACGAAAAACATATCGTTGTGGCACATGGTTGAATTTTAGTCTACGATAATTTGAATAAATAAGTTCATTAAATTTAAAAATTTATAAACACGAGCGATTCCAATGATTTGAAATTAACTCGGCTGGAAAAAATTATATTCACAATCGGAAGGCAATTGCAACCAGAGTGGATTTAAGAAGCCCGACAGCTAGTACGATAAAGAAAGAGAACAACTAGAAATATAAATGTATATCCTGTTTTAGTCCATCTGAAAGAATTTTAAAAATTCTATAAAAATTTATTATGTTTGAAATGCAACCGTGGACACCTGCAAATTTGCGTTCGTGCAGAAATTTGCAAGTTTCTCTACATGAGAGAGAATTCGAGAGAATTTTTTCGTACTCTCTGATATTTTGAGGGTTGGATAATTCTTGCTGGATTTTCGACGAACAAAGCTGATATTATGAAATGCGTGAGCTAGAAAAAGATATGAAGGCAAATACATGCTTTTTACAGGGTTTAGTGTAAAATTAAACACATTTTGCAACGGGGAAGGGCAACATTTTTTGGAAGAAACGAAATCACTATAAGCAAAACACTATAAGCTGATTGCCAAAAAATGCCTACACCTGTTTTTTGGCATTTGCTCTTATCTTTTACAATTTCTTCCATTTACATATATTACAATTCCCTGCAAAAAGTGGGACTAGGTTAAATACTAGTACGGGACCACGGTACCTTGTAATCAACACTAGTAACCAAAATGGTCCAAATATATGGAGAACATATCGATGTAGTTTTGCCATCTCTGGTCCAACGCTGCATAACATGGGACCACCTATACAACTACTCCTTCAGTGTCAGTGGCAAAACTACATCGATGTTTTTCCTTGATTGATGATAATAGAAAATGTACATTTCGATGCATCGATTTGCATAGGATTTTTCAGATAATGTTTCACAACAAAATACATATGTTATTAGCAAAATTGTACAAAGTTAGAAATAAATTACTGCAACTGAGCTAATTATGTTTCTAACGAAACTTTTTGGAGCCATTTCAATTTTTTGGTCAAAGTAACTTCTCTTTTTTGTGCAAATAAAAAACTGCATCGATACATCGACTATTTATACATCGAGTGGAAAGATTTCGATGCATCGATGTTTTTCCGACACCCTATAATGTTCCCGCCAGTCTCATGATGATTTCAAAAATTACGCTTTATTTTTACAAGCTTTTATTTAACTTGCTCTCTATGTATGTAAGTTTATTTGTTTGGCGCAGATCTTGCAATCAATTTTTGACCAACTTCCCGATGACCTAGAGACTTGAAAATTCACAGTTGACAATATTTATGGTCCGATTGCGTTCACATTTAGAAAGATTGTATATTTTTACTATAAACTTTTATTTTTTTATCACTTTTTACGCAGATTTTTTTCCAATTGAAACTTTTAGTATAAACATCACAGACGATGGTTTCCCCCTTAAAAAAACAATTAGCAATTTGGATGGGTTTTAGACAGTAAGCTATGAAAAAATAATAAAAAAAATTCGAACACGTAAATTTTGCGAGAAAATTCCTTGTTTCCTTTGTCGTAGTGTTACCGCGTATAACTTCGAAATTACATACATAAGTCTTGCCGATTTAGTTAGTTTTGTTTAGGTATATTTTTTGTACTGTTGTATTTTCAAATAAAAATTTAATTTTAAATTACTTACTTTTAGCTTTTTCATGAAAATCGTTAAACATTCTAAGATAAGTATGTTATCAACTTCTTCACTACACAGACCTACGCGGTTTTCCCCTTAAAAACTTGTACATAAATTTTTCGACAAAATTACTTTTTTTTTATTTTTTTTAGTGATCCTGTTTTGTACAGCGCGGTAATTTCGAATTCCCATAACTATTTCTGATTAGCTTAGTCTCTTTTCGGGCATTTTCACCTTAAGATATACTGTTCCTACTTAACGGAAATTGTGCGAAATAAATCATTTAAAAATAAAAAATACTGTAATACCTCAAGCCATTGCGTAGGTGCATTTACTAATAGCTTTTTATTGTCTGTTGCTTGATTTGAAGTCTGGCTTTGTTAGTTGAAAGCCAATTTGGTCATAACAAAAGTCATGGAAACATATTTATGGTAATGCTAATTTGTCACCAGACACATGTAATGTCGTACTTCGAGATTTTTTTTTATAAAAAGTTCTACTCTCAAAAAAAAAAAAAAAAATTTATCAAAACTCTTATTGAGCTAAAAGTTGTGTATGTTTGAGAGGTATTAAAAAGTTGTGCGCTTCATTGCTGGTAGTTTGGCAAATTTATTTAAATTTCTTATGGTTCTGAAAACGTTCTGAATACTGTGGGGCTGATCGCCAAGAGTGTATGTAAAACTTGATGTTCGAGCCTCCGAAGGTTGTTGAATCGCTGCCCTCTAGAAAAGATGGGTGGTCAACTGTTTTGCTAACCTAAAGGAACGGCTATACCACAAGTTAGAATATGTAGTTACATACGTGATTGTTAAACGCCAAGAGAATTTCGATAGAACAAATTCAACTGAATTTTACAATTGCAACAATAACTCTTTCCACTAATCGCATAACGAATCTACAGAAGATTAAGAAAAAAGGCATAACAGCGAGAAAATATTATGACAGCGCTAATTTTCCAAGTAAACTCAACCTAATTATATGTAATTCTCTAAAGTGTATGTATCTTCATCAATGTCCAACTATTGTAGGATGGCATTACACACAAACTAACACACGTAAGAATGTCTTAAAACAAAAATACCCAACAAACACTGGACAACAAATTTTCAAACGCTTGAGAAAATCTTATTTCTCAATTTGATTTCCAGCACTGTTCATCATTTGAAATTACACATTTTCTCAAATTTTTCTCAAACATTGCTTATCAACATAAGAACGGTTTGAGTGAAGTCTATCGGTAGTCTGCTATATCACTCGCAAAATGGCTGGCTCCTCGAACACGCGGTTGCAGTTATTCGCAATTTGTCTGTCAGAAAATCGCTCCCCGTTCGAGTGAATTGAAATGCATTTAATGTATTGATTTCAGTGAAAATTGTTTGATAAACAAGCCGGTTCTGCAATTCACTTCCGAGTGAGGTTCAACGCCTGCAAATTTGAATTAAAAGCGAATTTTAATGAAATTCACTCGGAAGTGAATTGCAGTACCTGCCTGAATATGAATTTGTGACTCATCTGAAGAAATGAGCTACTGACTGGCCATTCAAATTTAAAACAATTTGCCCACCTAAATTGAAATAACATTTTTATGTTAAAAAATGATTTATGTGCATTTACATACATAAATATGTGCATAAATCCCAAAAATGATCCTTTAATATTTTTGTGGGGGAAAAATCGCAATAAATTCCCAAATAGGAGAGAAAAGTTGAAATTTCTTTCCCTAAGTGCATTTTTGTAAGAATTTGTATATTTTCTACAGCGCATATCGTCACCTGAAAAAGTCGAGACTAATATCTTAATTTTAATTTTAATTTAGTTTTTCATAAAATGATGTGGGGAGTAGAGGTTTACGCCGACAGGCTTTGCGGCGGCGGCGTGGTCAACGTCAAAAAGATTCGGCGGCGGCGGCGACGCCGGCGCGTCTGGAAACGCCGGCGCAACTTCTCATAAGGTAGATTTCAAAGAGCTACTAATCTTATCATTTCAACTCGTCAGCGTTAGGCATTCGCCATGCCAATTATTCTATTATTATAATTCTATTTACTTCATTATTGAATTAGTTTTAAATTTAAATATTGTTACTTCCTACTTGAATTAAAATGTTGAGTGTCTGGCGCTGATTGATGGGTGAACAGAAGAAGGTCTGAGGTATATACATACATACACACACGGATCTCTATATTCTCTACAGATCCGTATGTACTATTTAAATTTAAAGAAAAAAAAA